CGAAAGTTTGTTATAGAATGTCAACATTTGGAAACAATCCTGCAATGGTACAGTAACGTCTGATCGACAGGCGTGCATTTGGTTTAAAATCTGATGTCCAGCCAATTAGCATCAGCTATGACTATACGTAATAGGGAATTTCGTCACACTTGGGTCTTCATGTTTTCATATATCAACACTTTTCCTGTAGCATAAATGATGTAATTTGTACAGAAATTCCTGCTCCAGATAGTCAGTTACCCTTTGCCTAATAAAGATACATAAACAAGACACTCGTTATAGTGAAGTCATCAGGTTGTAAGATTTTCTTTATGATGGTCTATTGACAAATTGTTTAGTAATTTCACTATATCGATAAGGTTTTTATATAAACTATCACGAGAGTGACTCGTACCTAAATTTTATTTTATCGTTTTTCTCGATTTTAATTGATTGATCGATGATTAAAGAAGTATAATACATTATCCCAATGAAATGCATCGTTTGCCGATAACTTTATTATTATGTATTTAACATTTTTGTATTTACTGTTACGGTATGATTCCTTGAAAGATGTTTCCCTTACACAACATCATACAAAGTGGCAATTGTCCGAAAATATATACTTGCAGCTTAACCCGAACTCATGTAATGTGGATAAATGGGCTGTGGGAATTAACTTTTGGGGGAATTGAGTTACAACCTTATAAATAATCAGTCATCATTTTCAGAATCAATACGTATTCCTTCTGGTTTGACGAGTTCATTTGCTACAATAAATTAAACTAACATTGAATAGTTCAAATGTGTGTATTAGGATAACTTATTTCGAAAATAAGTAGGAGTCTATTTTCTTTTTTAAATTCCGAATAAAAACAATTAAATAGCCATACCTGGGTGTAAAATTAGCTTTTGATAAACATCTACCAATAAGTAATTATTTTTAAATAAGTATATACTTTGATTAATAGGTTTATACGTCAATAGTTTGATAAATACATTTGCATAAATAAAAAAAAAGAACAGGAGGAAACGCGACATATAAAAAAATTATTTTACAATACCAAATCATTTCGCTAGTACATGTTATGATTATAATAAAAATGATGTGGGACTATGTACTAGCGAATGATCCGGTATTGTAAAATAATTTTTTTATATGTTGCACAACGGGTCCTCCTGTCACAATACAAGTATTTTTTAAATCTTTTGATTTTTCTCTAAAAAACACTGAACATTGTTTTCATCTCCACCTAAGACTGGAGTTTTTATAGTATTTATCGTTATATCATCTACTTTAGTATCAGGAGATAGACTAGCGTTATGTTGACCAAGAAACTTTTTAGTTACGTTATATGGTCCAACGACCTCTAAAAACTCAATTTTTTCATTATGCAGATTCCATAAATATAAACCAAAATTATTAAGTTCCGTATCAATAAACCAAGCAATAAATAGATAAAGGTCTTAATATTTCTGGTTAAACGAGTTTTTTAATATAGCTAATGAATTAATAAAATAAATAAACGTTTATAATATCAACTTAGTGTAGCCTACTGTATTAACTATTAACAATTCATTATCACCTAAAAATTTGTTTTATATCCTTTATTATATTCTTCTAGCAATGACTTTAGGATTCCGTCCATTCAATAATTCCAGTGATTCTTTTTGAGCATAAGTCGTTGGATGATTTTGTAATATAGAAATAATTAATATAGATAATAAGTTAACTAAAAAATTAACTTTCATTGTTCTATAGTTATAATAATTTATATTATATAATAGTAACGACATAATAAAACTTTCTTTTTCTTTATTGAAAAAGAATAGATCGTGGTGTCATTAACCGAAATGCGTATTCTTGTATTTAAACCTTTTATTAGGCATTGAATATACAGTAAACTCATTCTATTCATTCAACGAGAAACAAGAATATAATTTTCAATCCCATTTGGATAGAGTAAGTGTAGTCTATACTACAGTACTATATGGGTAATTATTTTTGAATCTAGACGAAAATGTTATTACGTCATATACACAATTGGTCAAGGTTCAAAAATAATTACTCATATGGGTAACGCCAAGGAAAATCCAGAGTCAGGATTTCCTTATCTTTACTTGTATGTTCCGTACTTCAGGCAAAATTTATATAGCTTACCAATACCGATATTTATTAGCATTTCAATATTTAAACGATAGTGCTTATAGGACTTGCATGTTCATTGTCACAAAGTTGAAGATTCTATTTGAGCCCTCAAATTTTACTTTGCATGTTGACAAGGGTCAACGGATCGAAAAGAAAGGGTAACACTGGTCAGGGGCTAGTCAAGGGTTACACACCACGTGCTACAACCCCTGCACTCAAACGAT